TATAGTTGATGACCAACAAGAATATGAAGTAGACAATATTTTAGAGCATCACTACTTTTGTTGTGGCAGTGGACATCTACAACTTCAATACAAAGTTCTTTCGAAAGGTTATCTCATTCACGATGTAACATGGAAACCTACACAAATCTTTACCTATTACCAAGAGACAATTCGGAGATACCATCCAGAGCAAAACAAGGATATTTTGCATTAATGGAGGAGGATTAAGTATAACATGGTATATAAAAGATAATTGTATAGATAGTTAGAACCATGGAAGTTTTTAGAATTAGAGTTAGTTTAGTAGACCAGGTAGGATCTACTATAGAATATTCTAGAAAGAATTTAAGATGGTTATTAGATAGAGTCCACCATAAATTGCTAAAAATATGCTCTAAAACTTTCAAAAATATTTTTGAAAGTTTTAGAGCATATTTTTACATGTTAATTTCAATTTAAAGCTATATTTTTTTATATTGGTGATTTTTTATATTTATATAATCAATTAAAATTAATTATAATTTTTTTAATATAAATAATAAATAAAAAATGATGTTCTTTTTCATGCTTCTAATGATATAGAAGTTCTTCTACCAACTAATTAAAATTTACAGGTTTTGAATAATTTATACATGTAAATATTAATATAATGTAGATATTGGATTGTATAGTCTAATACCAATTTTTGATATGAAAAAAAAATGCTAAATCAATTAAAATAACTACCTCAAAGACTTACTAAAATTATATTTTTATAATTTTTTTAATAATAATTTTTAATTCATAAATCCTTCTAAGTTATAATATATAATTAAAAAATAAAATAGGATTTTTAACACTAATTTTTTATATTTACATAGCTTAAAATTCTATTTTAAATAATTGAATCAATTAAGATGTATTTATGTAATTTATAATAAGTTTCTTCAATTTGTAGTAGAGTATAGACTAAACTTCTATATATCATTAACATGTACTATATTTAAAGTAACAAAATCTAGATAGTAGGATAATTAAAGTAGTATTCAGATTTGAACCATAGATATTAAATTGTTGTATTTTTTTCTTTAATTTCAAATATTTTTAATGTGGATGATTCTATTCATAAAATATTCTTTTAATTGGTATAATATTTAAGGTTAACATGTAAAAACTATACTTTAATTTCAAACTTTAGCAATTGCAAATCAAACTAAAATAACTACATTAATGGCAGACTACAATACTATATTAATTGTAGGCAACTTCTACCTATTCACTTACACTTGTACATGTAAGTCTAAAACTACTTTTAACCATCAAATTCTAGACTAAAATACTACTAATCTAACAAAAAGGCCTTTAATATCTTTTGTACATCATGATTATATACCATCAACTATCTCAAGATTTTAATTATTTTTTATCATAACAAATACTATGGTAGTTTTTTCTTCTTGTTTCTAAAATACTCAATAATCTATTCTATCCAAACAAAAAATATCTTTTTTTATTTATCAAGGACAAGAACTCAATAAATGTAAATAAATATATATATAATGTTTTTTTTTAAAAAAGACAAAAAAGATAATATATATATTAAAGAAAAAAACTATAATAACTATTATCAAAAAATAAAAATAAAAACTAGAAATCCTTGAAATTAGACTAGAAGAAAGAAAGAAATTAAGAAGAGTGAAGAAGACCTTATTTTTGCCTTTATATATACTATTTATCTAAAAGTTATGTGATAATATTGTATAGGACGTCCAACACATATCAAACTTGGAAGATTAGCTTCCTATATATGTGCCACATGTCTAACTTTTACCACAAGTTACCAACATGTGAAAAATGTGTCCATTTTGTTGGTCAAGTTTTCAACCTATCAATCAACTATAGACACATATAAAAGTAAAATTGTATCATGAAGCTTCTAAAAAGCTAATCTATAAGATATTATCAATTTTATCTATTTTTACTTATTTCTATCTATTTATATTATTTAGATAATTATTAGAATAAATATGGATGTCTATAATATTACTCTTCTTTTTAGGAGCAAGTTTGACAAAGAATAATGACTACATATTGAAAAACTTCAAGATGCAACAAATTATATTTGTCACATACTTTAATCTTTGTTTTTTTCAAAGATAGTTAATAGACCCTCTCAATTATTGATAATGTCTCATTCCAAGACTATAAGACCATCCTAATATTTGATTGTTATTGGGGCCTTCATAACTTCTTTTAAACAAAACATCTATAATACTATCAAGAGTCATTCCTACTTCTAGCAATATAACCAAACATCTAAAGTCTTTTCCAAGGTTATAATATCAAATACATTGTATCTTGCCATCTATTTTGAAAAATCATATTTTTTTAAGGATCTTCATATCTATTATATTATCTTGAAGGTTGTCATAATTACAATATGTCAGCTAGTAATTTGAAAAACAATAGATCTTAAGTTGAATCTGTTCCTTCTTGATTTTCTATTTTTTAGCACTATAAATACAAAGAAATCACAATTAAAGATAGAAGATAGGATGTAATTGAATATCCTTTCCTTTATAGCAAGTAATTGCTTGACTCTTCATCTTAGTTTTGATAGATGTTGTTGATGAAAGGTTTTAACCTTCTCTATTGTATTTGCAAGATTCTTGGATAGCTTCCATATATATTTATTAATATCATATTCAGGCTAATGAACAAGATATTTTAATCTAAGTTGGTATCACCTTCAATTGATAATTTCTTCTACCTTGAATTTTTTATTATTATCTACTTCTATAAAAAGATATAGCATTTGTTTTTTTCTTGAAATATTCATTGTCTATATGGCTCAAATAGAATAGATACATATCTCAAAGAGAGATATATAGAATATGGAATAGATCTTCATAGACTTTGATAGATATAATTATTATATAATTATTTTAATCTATTTATAAGATCAAATAATTTTTTATTTAGATTTATTTTATTATTATATTATTTTAAATTAATTATGATAGCTAGTTATTTATTTAAGTAATAATTTCATTATTATGCTTTAACTTATTATATTCTAATCTAAGTGTTAATTTTTTAATTAGTCTAATTTATATTTATAGTCCATATTTCAATCTAATTTAGGTTGATTTTTAAGTGACTTGATTGTGTTCAATCCACTTTAGATTTTTTATCCAAATCCTAATAGCATGGATTTTTTATTGTCAAAATCCTACTAGTTTAAGTCTAATACCAAATTAATTAAGTTTGAAACTCCCTTAATTCCAAAGACTACACCTACCATAGTATTTGTTACTTTTGGACAACTAAAATTACTTCTTTTTATTGTTAATTTAAGATAATTTCTTATAAATTAATTAAAACAATATAAACCATGTTTGAATTAGTCTTACATGGATTAAAGAAAAAATATAAGAAAAAATTCAATCAAGTATGAATAAGACTAGATTTGATTAAAAAAATATTAGATTTAAATTTGAAAATTTTAATCAAAGCATTATAAGATCCTAAATTACAAAAAGAAACAACTATCTTGGATAAAAGCTTGGTAATATGAGAGCCATTTATAGCAAAAAAAACTCTTATTTTATTAAATAATAATATTAAGTGTTATTATCTCAAAATTAGTTTTTTTTTAAATTTAATTTGTTTTCTTAAGAATTCATTAGCAAGTAGGCAACTTATCTTATTACAAGATAATTATTAAATACATAGTTTCTTTAGATAGTTTTTATTTTTAAGAATTTTCAATTAAATCTTCTTTATTAAGATTTTTTCTTCTTAATTAATAATTTAATTATTTTTTATAATAAACTTTTAATTTTATAATATAAAAGAGGATTTTTTTTATTATTATGGATCAAGATTCTTTTCAATTATAAGGTCAAAATTGATATTGTAAAAGACATCAAAGATTAATATTTTAGAGTTTTGATTCTTGTAAATCAAATATAGACCTCACAAAAATTATTACTTTTTAAATATTTCTTATATTGGTCTAATTTTAGAATTATATTTGCTAATAAAATATCGTCTTATCAAAAATTACTAAAAGTCATATTTAGCCACTTGATCCCTAATTATCTCATAAAAAAGAAATTTTTAAACAAACAATCATAGATACTAAAAACATATTGTCTTCATCCACCTTGACAATCAATATTAAACAACTACGTTTTATTGTTCTATCCATCTTTACTTAATGTATATCACATTATTTAAAAATCTTAAGATATATATTATATTCTTTTCTTCTTTCCACATTATTTTTGCTTAAAATGTGACCAACAAGATAAGTTCCAATTCCAAAGAAGAGCAAATGTAAGAAATTTGGATTGGATTACAAGAACAATAAGAGGACAAAATCATTTTAAAATTAAATTAAGATTAAGGTTGAAATTCTTCAATCAAATGGACATTTTAATTTTTAAGAAGCTTTGTGTAAAAAACCAAATTCCAACAAGTACAAAATAGATAAAAACATAACATATGTGGTGTTCTAATAGTTGTTGTTATAAATCAAGTCAGTTAAAGAAAATATTTAAAAAAATAGAATTCAAGGAAAAAGGAGAAATATCCTGATAGGTTAAAAGAAATTTTGAAATCAAGTAGCAAAAAATTGTCAAACTTTACTTGCATTTTTTCCAAACCACTAGCTTTTGTCAGAATTCGTTTAGCTCTCGAAACATTGTGTTAGGAACTGCAGGTGCACATGGTGTCGTGGATGTAGAGTTACAACCATCCACATGAGGATCGATGTGTCGGTATATTCCTGGCGAGGTACATGAAGAGTCCGCATCACGTAGCTCAGAAATCAAGCATCGGTGTGGCTTTTCAGAATGGAGTGTGCTTGATTCACCACGTTGCTCACATCGTCAGTATCTCACTGAAAGTGACACATGAAAAATGTACTAAATGAGCAAACAGTTTTTTTACTGAATGCAGGAGAATGAAATAAGGAGCTGAATACAATTTTCTGAGCAGTTTTTTTTTTTTAATATCTAGAAGTATGCGCGACGACAGTGGGCTACCGATTCAGTTACAGCCTCTATCGTGTCTTGCATGTGCTTTGTGGGCTACATCAAGCGCAGCCACAACAGTACCTTAGGAAAACTAATTTGCCCGGAGCTTCTTTCGCTTGCATCGTGCAATATTAGACACAATGTCGCGTTTTTCTACGTAAGGGTCACGGTCGTTACTGGTGGGGTACGTTCAACGCAGCCACTACATTCCACCGATATATACCTTTATCAATAATGATATCGCAAATTCGTGTCGATGTCGAGTTGACAGAGATTACTAGCAACGGGCACCACGTCGGCAAGAGAGTGGACCAGCACCTCTCACCATCCTGCTCACCATCGTCGCTGGCCGTGCAGCACAACTTGCAGTCTTGGAATAGCTCTGATACGACCACTTCATCGGCACACTCGTACAGTAAGCACCGGAAACGAATCTATCGTCCTCAGACTTGCAGTTCCAGTTTTTTGGTCCTCCGAAGCTGTGTCCCCCGTCGTTGATCCGCTTCGTCACTTGCTTGGAGCCCGTATAGGCGTTGAAGATGTTTCCTTGAGAGAGAATCGTGGGTCCCTCGCTGCCAGCTATGGCATAAATGCCCCATCTGGACCTGTAGTCGTTCAGAACATGGACGTTTCCAAATCGGACTCTCGGCATCATCTGCTGCAGTTTGGGACCCAAGACATTGTAGACTACAGTCACATACATGTCCCGGTCCATCCAATCATCTTTTTTTGCTCCGAAGAGCATTACCTTGTTGTGTTGGGTGAAGTAGTTGTTCGTGATCGATACTGTGGAGGAACCTCTGATCACGTCGATCAAACCGTCTGCTGCCCTAGCCTGGTAGGAGTGGTCGATCCAGATGTTCTTGGAGGAGAATATGGAGATAGCGTCACCGTCAAACTTGTTGCGCTTGCCCACATGGCTGGTTGAGGTCATGATCCTCCCGGGACCTGTGGGTTTTATATCATGGATGGCGATGCCGTGAATAATGATGTTGTTCACGCGCTGCATCGTCAAACCGCCGCCACCCGCAATGCGGACTGTAACGCCACGGCCGTCAATGGTCTTGTAGCTAGTGATCATTAAGTGCAATAATTTTGGACATTTCACAATAGGACATTCTAAACACAAGGAACCCAAAAAATCGTATTCTAAGTCTTGAAATAGCAATTGTTTTCTTTCTAACATGTGCTTGAAAACTTTACTAAGCAAAAACAATTTGAAGAGAAGGTGAAGAAGACTATAAATATAGCAATAACAATCCTATTGAAAATAAAAATTGACAGTTATATGTGTATATATATATATATATATATATATCCACAAATTTCTTAAAAATAAAAATAAAAACATGATATTTTATGTATAAAAGAATAGTTTATATTATTTTTTCTTCTTTTTACATTTTAAAAATGTTTTTGTTTGGTTATTTCTATTGTTTAAGGAACATTTTTTATACAAATTTTGAATTAGAAGTTTTACATTGATTAATTTATATCTCTTTCTAATTGAGTAAGAAAAATTTTACTGTTGATTCTTTCAAAAAAAAAAAGGGATAATTTATCTATTCTTTTAAAATAAGAAATTTTCACAGCTTATGGGAAAGAATACATATTGTTCACATTAAATATTATTTATATATAATTTTTTTATAATTAAACTTTAGAATTAAATACTAATTTTTTTAAAATATGAAAAATATATAAATCTTAAATTTGGTTTATTAAAGAATAAACGAAATTCATAAATTTAATTTCTTAAATGATTAATAAATAAATTTAAATTTTTTAAAAAAAATTGATTTCTTGAAAAAAAATCTCTTATTCTAGTTTATATAAGTATTAAGACCATTAGAATTATTAAAATTTTATTCTTTACATTACCTTAATTTATATAAAGAAAAAAAAAATACTAATTTAAGGTAAAATAATCTACACAAAATCCCACCAATGTATAAAAAATAAATTTAGAGAAAATGGATATAGTTAAACTGTGAGAAATATATAGATTATATGATATAAATTATATATAAAATTTTCATAGACATGTAAAAAAACTTTGTGTCATTTCAATTATATATATATATATATATATATATATATATACATACATATATTTCAATTAATAATATGCATCATAAATATCTTAAAGAAATTATGTAGTTGAAATTAATTTAATAAACATTGCAAAAGATAAAGAAATAATCAACTAAATTTTATAATGAAAAAGAAAGATATATGTGTATAAAAAGTCAATATATTTTTATATTTTTTTCATTAAAAGATAAAATTTAGTTAAGTTTTAATTATCTTATTTTTATATTCTAATATTATTAAATGTTAAAATTTTTGAGTAAATTTAATAATTTTAACTATAAAACACTATAAATTCAAACTATATCTAATGAATTTTTGGAAGGTAGGATTTAAAGGTATACATAATTAAGCATAGATAGACATAAAAGTTTGGAAGTCTGTACTTGCATTTCGTATTTTTTTTAATTAAGTTTAAAAGTTCATTTAAATTTGTTTAAATTATAAAATAAATTTTTATAACTTTATTTTTAGATTTTTAAAATTTTAGTTTTTACTTATTATTTCAAAAGATTTAGTAAAAACTCAACTTATATATATTTATTTGAAGAGTTAATTCTCTTCAAGTATATGTATACTAAATCATTTAATGATTTGATAGAGTTTCAAAATAATTTATATAGATTTTTTTGTGTATATTTTAAAATAATATTAAGAAAATATATATATATATATATATATATATATATATATATATATATATATATATATATATATAAAATATTAATTTTTTTCTTATTATTCAAAGTATCACTTATACTTTTAATTATATTCTAACTAAATTATTCAATAAAATGTGATTTATTTGTAATATTTTAAATTTCTAAAATAAAAAAATTAAATAAAAGTTTAATTTATATTCTTATTTCTTCTATTCAAATAAAAAAATTACAATCTTTCGATAGTAAATCTCTATTAAAATACTTTAAATATTTTTTTAGTATTATTTGAATAAATATAAATATGTATATACACATAAATTCTTATACATACATATATATATATATATATATATATATATATATAGATACTGGTATAAAACATCTATAAAATGATAAAATTTTAAATAATTCATACATATATTTTTTTAATAAATTAATATTTTAATAAATATAATCCGTTTATGATTATTATTTACATGAAAAGGATATTTTATTTATTCTATAATAAAATAAAATTTTATACAGACACTATTTAGTATAAGAATTTTTTATAAATACTGTATTTTTCACTTTTTTCTATTATAAATTAAGAAGATTATCAAATCAACATAAGTGAATCTTAAATTGATCCACATTTGCTCTTAAGTGTCTTTTACTTTATCATATATTCCTCTCCAATCCAAAGAAAGTCATTTTTTTAAAATTAATCCTTTAATTCTTTAATTCTAGAGTACTTTGCCTTACTTGCAAATCTTCACAAGCAACATTTTCACAAAAACTTTTTTTACGAATCTAATATTATCATACAAGAAACAATTTTATAAATTCTATTTTTAAAGATTTAATATCATTTCACTATTATTCATATTATTTTAATATAGCTTTACTTTTCTTTAGAATTAAATGTATTTTAAAATTACTAAAAATTGAATATCTTGCTGTATAAATTTATACCCACAACTATCAACAACTTAATTTCTAACTAGATTTTGCCTTATATTTGTATTTCTAGAATGCCAAAATTTTATTTTACTTAGTAATTAGTAATTTTGGATATTATACTGGTTGAAAAGATATTTTTTCTAAATAAATTATCAAAATTAAAAGACATAAGATTTAAAGAGATTAATGACAAAAACAAACTTACATTTCTTGATCTAAGATTCGGATTTCATATCATAGAGTTCTAAGTCCAATTTTTAGTTTTGCAAATACTTCTTGGTTCAAAGTTTGATAATTTGTAATTTAAAAAAAAAAAAAAAAAAAAGTTAATTTTGTCAAAGCTTAGTGATCAACTTCAAAGAATTTCCAAATAATACTACCTTAAATTAATATTGGTTCATATTACAACTCAACACAATTAATTACTACCAAAATAAATAAGCTAAAAAAAATACTTATGTTGTAAAAAAACCTACACCAATAATAGTTATGTATTGGATTGTAATAATATTACTTTGATTAATATAGATTAATAATAGTAATAATAATAAATATTATTATTATTAGATTGCATCAAATAATTTAAATAAGACACTGATTTAATAGAATGAAAAAAATACCCCAAAAATAAAAATACAAAAAAAAACCCCTGAGATTTAGAGCCTTTATATACATGTACAACTCTCACTTTATTATTGCAACTAATGTTTTGTTTTTCTTAAGCAACTATTTTGGTAGG